AGCTACAGCTGAGTGATACACAAATAAGATACATTTTTGTAAATAGGTAAGGTACTTGACTGTATTTTTGTCACTTTATGTGCAGTATGTAAAGCGCTGTGCAAATTGTCGGCAATATGTACATCTATATTTATTTCCAGTTACTATGCAGACCTCAAAATCTGAGAATTTGCATGAACTATTCTATTTATTTGAGAAACAATTCAAGATTTGTAGAGCTATTTGTCAAGCATAATAGATAAGCAGAGGATGGTGTCCTCTGCTTATCTACTTCAGTAATGAAGTAGATAAAGCTTAAACCACATGATTTCAGAGTTTTAATAAGACACTGTGTTGCCAGCTCAAAAAGGAAGGTAGGAGCACATTATGGGGTTCTTTTATAAAAGTTATATATGTTATATATAGCTATAAGCCGGATGGATGCACTAGCACCCCTAGATGGTGCTAACAAGTATAGGAAATTCCTATGTTCATCATCGCCATCTAGGGGTGCTAGTGCCGCGTGGGCTGCATCACGTTTAGAAATTAACCCCTATATTTCTGAACACATTATTTTTCTATACTTGTGTGTTTAAAGGGATAAAACATGGGGAATTGTGCATGTATTGTGAAGATGTACTAAATATGTTTCTTATTTATTTGCCTTGATATATTCTTACACTCTAAAGTTGGGACTGATTCGATGTGCATACTTTTTTACACTATACAGTACACTATAAGAAACCTGAAATGTTCAGAATATTAAAGCAAATATTTATATAGTAAAATGTATATTATTTAGGTACAGATTAACATAAGCAGAAGTTCTTACTATTCCAGTGAGCACTGACACTATAACCAGTGATATTGGAGTCTCTGGCAGGTACCTGCACTGTTTCCTCTGCTGCAATTGCTAAAGTCGTTACTACTATTATTTAGGGGATTTTTTTTTTTTTGTCCAGCTTGTACATTATTCTAAGAATTCTGTAGGTCAGCCTTCTAGAGGGAATCTTTAATATTCATCTGCTCTGTGAAGATGCTTTTTGTCCATAAAATGCTAAAGACTTTTGCACAGGATTAACAATTATCCACAGATCCACAGATCACCTAAATCTGGCCATATTTAAGCTAGTTCACAGGAACAGGCTGAAAATGTAAAGCTGCCCATACACCATACGAATATCGGGCGATTTTCGTATGCGATCGCGTTTTCGTCCGATATTCGTAAGGTTGATGGGCAGCGTAGAACCGCAAATACTGTACAATTGATCGACTTTTGACTAACCAGCAAGTTAGAAAACTTCGGTCGATCGTACAATTTTCGCAAGGTTGGTGGCGTTTGCGTACGTCAAAATTCGTACGATTTAAGGCTTGTTCACGCGACGTCCGTATTCTGTCCGGACCAGAGCCGTGCGCTCATGCACCCAAAATGCATCCCAATGTACCCCTATGTGTTTTATGGGCTACAGTTCTCACGAGCGCAGTCCGTTCAGGTTACGACAGAAAAAATACTGCATGTCACATTTTTGTCCAGCCCGGAAATGCACGAACGCGTCAAAAACGCGCCAAAAAACGCACTGCACTGCAGCTAACATACTGACAGCCCCACTCCAACCAACATTTTTTTTTTTTTAACTGGGACACATCAAAAATGCGCCAAAAACCCACTGCATGCATAGCACCGCGTCTCCAGATCTGGACCAGAAAATCATGTGAACAAGCCCTTACAGACGAAAATACGTGCGGTCGATTACAGCAATTCGTCCAGGTGCTTTCTTTTAATTACCGCTGATCGAACCTTGCGATAATCGGGGCAGGATGGGGCCGCCTATGAAAATCGTACGACGGTTGGATCATTGGACGAAAAGTGTCATCCGATGATCGCAAGGTGTATGGGCAGCCTAACAATGGGTGGCTCTGCCAGCTTGACAATAGTCAATCACTTGCTTGAGTTTTGTTGAAGGACCCTATCCAAAAATTGTTAGGTGAACAGTGACTGCAGCCAATCAGCTTGGATAAAGGAATCTGTTAGATTTCTTTTGGTAAAGAAAGGAGGAAGAAAAGAGGAATGGAAGAAGTGAATATGAAAGTAAGTCTTGTGGATATTTACTAAGTTTCTTTCGCAGCTGCTATCTAGGGATTGCTAGAGAGTTGTAACGTTAGTGCTGTCCGTTCATGACTGAGATGATGGTTGTTACTGTACTACCTTACAACCCCAATTTTTAGGCATTTTGATGTCATTTGTTCCCTGCCTTTGGTAGTTAATAAAATGTGGTCAGAATGGACACCTCCTTTAAAGTGTAACTTTTCCACTGATTTTATACCTTGCTGACTGAACTGTAACAGGCTTGTGTATAATTTATTAAGAAATAGGCTGCATTAGCTCCAGAGAGGGCCACACATTAAAAGGAAAAATAACAGTTTTGGGGATTTAGATAACAGTTCTTTACTATATATAAAGAAGAACACCAGGCAAAACTTTTTTTAACCCTTGCAGTGAGACTACCCCTGCACTCCAAGGGTTAACTGCTCATTTTTGTCTAGGTGCTAAAAAAAAGGTATACTCACTTGAACCGCTGAGCCGGCTCCCTATTTCTCCAGTCTCTGAAGCCTGTCTTCTTCTACAACACAGCACTGGAATATTTCTCAGCGTTATCACGTCTATGCAGTGTATAGAACATGATGATTTACAGGACCTTAGACCGCTGCACAGAAGGGGAGAGAAGCTTCAAGGACCGGTCTAAGAGCAAGCTGGCTCTGCGGTTCAGGTGAGTATAACTTGTTTTTAGCGCCTAGACAAAAACGAGCAGTTGACCCTTGCAGTGCGGGGGTAGCCCAACTGCACAGGTTAATAAATGTTTTGCCCAGAGTTCTTCTTTACATGTAGTTAAAGCTGATCTACATCTGCACCTTTAGGGCCTGTTCACACCACTTGCAGTGTGTTCCTGCAACGAACCATGCTGGAACGCACTGGATCGCATACTGTCTGGCCCCCTGAATTCTGGGGCAGGGGGGAGCGTGGCAGTGCATTCAAGTCAATGGCACCGCAGCCACGACAGTGCGATCGTCTGCACCAGAACGCATGGCACAGCAATACCTGCGTTCTGGTCCAGTGCGATTGCAAGTAATAGTGCTTGTACTATTTGTCGTGATCGCATTGGACTGGAACGCGGGCATTGCTGTGCCATACGTTCTAGTGCGGGACGATCGCACTGCAGCCTGGGTGCCTTGGCTGTGGTGCCATTGACTTGAATGCAGGGCAACGCCCCCTCCCGCCCCAAAATGCAGGGAGCCGGATAGTATGCAATCCAGTGCATTCCAGGATTGTTAGCTGCTGGAACGGACTGGAAGTGCTGTGAAAAGGCCCTTAGTCTTGCACAGTTGTACAGACTAAAGGTACAGCTCTCCTGTATGGAAATTGCTTATTCTGATTGCACTGCATAAGTGCATTAGATGCTGCAGGTAGTCAGACAGAACCTTAATTTCCTGCCTGGAGTATGTCCAGCATCATCTAGCTTTTTGCTCCCCATCTTTACCGTCCCTGGTCCTCCCCTTCCATTCATTTGATTTCAGTTATGTCAATTGTGGAGTCTCATCATCATATGTGGATGTTACCTAGGGTGGTCTACATGCAAATACAGGCTGCCTCCAGACTGATATCCATCGAGGTATTTTGATATTTCCATAATTCCCCATAAGAGCAAGCCCACGGTTTGAATAAGAGTACTGCTTTATAGGCTGCATACTGAGGCAGGGCGCTGTGACGTTTTCAGGAAGTTATGTACATCACCCTGCCGTCCCCTCCCACCAGTCATGATCAGCCTGCATTGCATAGAGGAGCACAGAGATCTAAAATAAGGACTAAAATAAGGTATGCATGAAAATGAAAAGGTTTATTTTAAAATGTCATTAGCCTGTTGATGAGGGGAGAAAGGAGGAACCAGGGAAGGCAAAATATAAGCAAATTAAACTTCAGCTATGAAGTGAGTCTTTGCTGCAGTTCCATTTATTTTGCACCTTGCTGTGCTCCCAGCCCTACCTACAAATAGGCTCAGAATAGGTTCAAAATGTTAAGCTTTGGTAATGCATGTGTGCTGATGCTCGATCAGAGCAGTATACAATATTCCGATTGTACAGTGTATGAATACTGTATGGGCTGTGATCTATATAGGGCTTTGGTGGTTTCTGTAGTGACAATGGAGAAACATGGGTAATTTGGGTGAATGATCAGTTCTACTCTGTTGACTGTTCTAGCAACAAACGCTGTGTGCATCTGAATGTGTAAAAAGTGCCAATATTGTAAAATCAAATTAAAATCAAGCACTCTAGCAAGGACAAGACATGACCTCTTGCAAATAATTAACAGACACAGCAAAGGCGTCTCATGTGTATTGTATGTACATGTATGTGTAGTGGCGTGTATGTAAAAAAAAAAAAGGTCATTTGTCATATGTTTGATTGATAAAGGTTCACCCTGAATGACAAGCGTTGACTTTTTAAAAACCCATCACAGTGCAAGACTGCAGACGAAGAATAATGAGCACCCTTTAAAGTGATAACACCTCTGCCCCAGGGCGCACGCCTTCCCCCTGGCTGTAGGTTTTACTGTTACCTTCACTTACAAGTATTTTAATGAACCTTGCTGTGAAAATGTTCCACTTGTGCAGAAAAGCTTTGTGTTCCTCCATGTCCTAACAATATGCACATTTAATCGCCGCATGGCTACAGACCGCAGGCTGATGTTTATAAATAAACAAGAACTTACATCTTCATGTATACAATCGGATCATCTGTTTTAAAATGTTTTAAAGAGTGTGTGTGTGTATATATATATATATATATATATATATATA